ATGGTCGCATATCAGCATGATAAGTGATCAGTCGCAGTTGTAAGTACTCTCCTCAAGCAAAATAGAATTCGAAATAGCGTCATTAGTACTATGTCGTCGCCAAAGAAAAGTCAATGCCAATGGATTATTCTGAATACGCTAATGTCTCCAAAAAAGGCTATAATCCGGACTGTCTGGCAGTTAGGCTAGAAATTCTTTTTCTATACTTGCATACCATATTGTTCATCTCTTGTCTACTTTGATTCAAAAAAAGGGGCGGTTGCTAATGTACTTATGTTAGGGTTTCACCTGATTTCATACACATATAACACACATCTGTGTGAATTGTTAAAATATAAAAGAGACCAGATCTTTGCTCACAAATCAGTCACATTCAAATCATCGAACTAAACACAAGTTTGTTTTAGTATTGCTGAACATTATATTCAAGAGAGATTGCTGTGGAATTGATATTTTGGCATATTATTCAAAAAACAATCAAAGAAATTAGCGTTGATTGCAAGTTAGCTTGTTGTGGTAAATCATAATTGGGGTCGGAAAGTGAAATTGTATTAAAATGTAAGTATTTAAGTTATGTTGAATTTGCCAGATTTTTATTGAAAGAATTTGAATACAACTAGGACTTAGGTTCTCAATCAGTCGTTTTGAAATGAGAGAACTGTTTCAATTGGAATGGTTAAGGGTTTCAGAGCTTTTTCAATTTTTGCTTGAATCATTCAACAGAACACACTTAACGTAATTTAAAAAATAACTTAATTTGCAGCTTAAGACGATGAACATTTCGATGATGGCCAATAAAGGGAAGCGACGATGTCAAACACCGAAGCGAAACAACCGAGCAAAGCGACAACGACAAGCAAATGACAATGAAGTGGCGTGTGCTACAAAGATTTTAGACGTTAACAACGATTGCCTTGAGCATGTGTTCAACCACTTGAGCCTGATGGAGCTGATCGATGTGGCTGGGGCGAACAAACAGCTTGGAACAGCCACAGCTTCTGTTTTTTTCCGCAAATATGGAAGGAAGACGGTGGAGATCTTGGCCGGTGACTTTTCATCAAGTTTGCCGGAATCAGAGGCAGTAGAGGTGACTGATAACGCTATTCTCATCCGCAAACGGGCGCAAGCTTTCAGAATTCTGCGTCTTTTCGGTGAATGTATTTCCAATATAACGTTGAAAGGTAAATGGCCAAATGGTCTCAACTTGGATCAACGAAAAACTTTAAATAAACCGATTTTTGTTTATATCAACGAATACTGTTCAGACAGTCTGAATTCCCTCACACTGGACCATCTTATTTTCGCGTATGAAGACACGAAAAAGCCATACAAAAATGTGGAAAAAATTTCAGTCCAATATGGAACGATAGAATTTGAGGCATCGCAATTCAATGACACTTTTCCGAAGTTGCATCGTTTAGATTTGAATTTGAGTATATTTTTTGAACACAAACGCGGCTGGTTTGGTGGTAGATTTCAGCAGCTTGAACACTTCAAAATAGCATTCCCAAACTTTCGCGATGGTCCCATAAGAACCGATGTGCGAGAGATCATACGTCTAAATCCTCAGCTACAAAGTTTAAGCGTTTCGGCTGACTTCAATTTGAAATTTTGGGACTACGCCGGCAAGCAGTTGAAACAACTAACCGCCCTAGAGCTGTCTTATGACCAAGATGATTTTGAAAAGTATCCAGCTGATCCGATCCGATTTGAAAGTGTTGAAACCCTCAAATTGAACGTTATTCCAAGTATCAATAAGTGGGGGATAGAGAAAGTGTTTATGTTCAAACAACTCAAACAGTGTACATTCAGTGGTGATTGTTATTTAGATGATTCTTGGATCGATTTTGCCATCATGCATCCGACAATTGAGAAGCTTGCAATCGTCATGCTGCACTCAATATTTCTCAGTGAACATCTAATGACACAACTCGCTGTAAATCTCCCGAATCTAACTGAATTGGACATGGATCAGTGCTCGTGTTCCGTGAATGCGGCAATTCGTTTCTTGAAGGAAAAACAAACTATCCGGAAATTTTCATTGAGAGTTTACAATGAAGATTACCTAGACAAGCTTTACTCCAGGATCACACCGGAATGGAATGCAACCAAAAAGTACAAAAAGATTGTAATCGAAAGAAAGGAGTAGATACAAATATCGAACTACCAAATCATTAATTTTTCGGGTTGAAAACGGTTTCATCTTGTTTGAGTTTTTTCTAGAAAAAATACTCTGAAACATTGTAACATTGATAATAATAGAATGCAGCAACTGAGCTGTACACTTTTTAAAATAATCCAATGTCCTGAACTGCTAAAAACTGTTTCTATTAAAATGCAACCATTTTTAAGAAAAAATCCATTATCCCGTCTCAAATTAATCTCATAGTGGCATATTAGCATAACAAACTATTTGACACAGCTGCAAGCATTCTTCTCAAGCAAAATAGAATTCGAACTAGCATCATTAGTACTATGGTATTGTCAAGGAAAAGCCAATGCCAAGGATTAATTTCAACATATGCTGTTTATGTCTCCCAAGAAGGCTATTATCCGGCTACTGTCTGGCAGTTAAATATGAAATTAAACTTTTTCTCCCAGGTAAACTTGTCTACCACATTGGTCATCTCTTGTCTATTTACTTCGATTTAAAAGTAGGCGGCCACTTGTAATCACCAATGCACCAGTGCTATACCTGATTTTATGCACATTTAACACACATCTGTGTGATTTGTTGTGCTATCAAAGTGACCAAATCTGCGTTCAAAAATCGGTCACATTCAAATCGTTGAACTGAACACAACTATGTTTCAGTGTTGCTGAACGGAATATCTTAAGAGAGATTGCTGTGGAATTGAAATTTTGGGGAATTATCAATAAAAAAATAATCAAAGAAATTAGAGTTGATTGCTAGTTTGTTTGGAAAAGTTTTCGTAAATCATAATTGAAGCCAGAAAGTCGTGAAAGAAGTAATTGTCGACGGGATGAGTGGAAATAAAGTGCAATAAAAAGAACGATATTGAATCCAGAAGATCCCCATTTGGCGAGAGAAGCATCAGAAATGGATTTTTCTTCGTTGAATGACGAATGCATTCGCAATATATTTGATTGGTTGTTGATAGAAGATTTGTGCAGGCTTAGAGTGACATGCAAACGTGTATACTTGCTGACCAATGATCATTATCAAAGAACGTATGGACAATTATGTGCATATTACAGATACTTTTGGTCCGGAAATAGTAAGCATTATGAATTATGGAGTCAAAATAAATATCATAAGTCTTTTACTTCCTTGGCCCGCAACATCAAAATAACTGGTATAGAACACGTATCTGAGATTGGTCCAATACTTAATCCGAACAAAAAATGTATGAAAATTTATTCAACAAATTTGTGTTATGATTCGAATGACTTGCACTTGAAAAACCAACTGAGGAACGTTCAAGAAATTTATACAAACATCCGACAATTTATCACAGTTTTTTTACGAATCTGGAGTACTTAAGTCTTTGTCCTTATCGGAAAGTTGAAGAATTGTTGGGAAATTATCCCACAATTGAACAGTTTGATTGGAAATACTATACAAAAGAAACAGAAGATGTAAAACTGCAGGGTTTCTTTAAGCGACATCCAAATATAAAAACATTTTCATCATATGCACCAATTGATACTTGGCTACTTGATTCAGGGCTTAAGTTCGATGATTTAGTATATTGAGTTTAGGACAACAGTTCAGTTTTGATTGGTGGAGTGGAAGAACCGCTGAAGATATAGATCAAATAATAGATAATTTACATTCACTTCTCAAGAACCAACAGATCAAAAGATTACATCTAAAAATAACTGACATAGACATTTTACTAAGTCCAAAGCTAGCTACACTAACATTTCTGGAAAGCGTCAGAATCGAATGGATTTATGATGATAATGATCGAATAGTTAATGGTCTAATTTCTCTGCCGAATCTAAAAGTGTTGTTTCTTCTTGGAGGAAAGAATTTATTCAAACGTCATTTTGAAATGTTGGCGCAAAAAATGGAGAAACTTGAGAAATTTCACGTGGATTACAGCCGAAACTTTTATTCCATTGAGGACTTCATTCCATTTGCACGTTACTCAGCAACACTGAAATGTATTTGTGTAGAACAATCTGGGTTAAAAGACTTGAAAGAAATGAACAATATTACACTTCAAATGCTGAAAAAAGAGAGACGTCAACTCAAAGATGCATGCAAACTAACAATTTACATAGAGGAAGCAAATTACTTGGAGATTAAAAACCATTCATTAAGAAGTAGCTATGGCTTAGTGGAAATAAAACGTATCAGTTCATATCCTTTGTCAACACATCCATTGCGACCAAAATATTTTTCTTCATGATATAAAATCTAATGATATATAGTAGACAATATTAGGAAGGCATTTAACATACTCAATTGTAACCGTAACAAATATACCAAAATAAAATCTTTTTTATAAGAAAATAAAGGCCAAGTCCTTGCTATTTTTTTTTAAGAACGGTCCGTGTGACCGTGAAAACGAAACAAGTTCTATAGAATCAATTAATTTCCAGTGGATATTTCAAATTAAAGCTGTGTCAATCGATGCTTTTTAAAACAACATCATCGAACTCTGAAATACTCTATCAAGTCTTCACACTGAAACACTGTTTCGGATTTTCAAGAGAGTTTTCATTTGTTCATTGCATGCAATGCGACAGTCTTGTTTTGCTCTATGAGCAACTAAGTTCTTTAATTTAAGTTTAATTTTCAAAAAAAAAATATATTTTCATAACAAAATTCATGAAAAATTCGTCACATGAAATTATTTACAAGTAATTTTACTTTGATTTACTTTTGGCTCGCAGTAAAATATCTACTTACACAATTTTCTCATTGAACCAAACGATTTTCGGCGCTATGACAGCGCTGCTGTCGACATGATTTCATGTTGAGCTGTTGAAAAAAAGTATTATTTTGAAATTCAAAGTACAAATAGAGGTTTCCCTTTCGATTTTTTTGAATTTTTAATTCAATTTTCTCTTGAAATTTCTAAGTTAGAAAATTACGTAAACATTTGAGCAAATGGAAATGAGTTGATGTTTTTGTTGTGAAATTAAAAAAAATGATATAAATGAAAGAATTGCAGATTTTTTAAAGAACATTTTTAGAAAAAGAGAGCGAGATTGCATATTTTTAGAGTAAATTTTTGAGTAAAGCATTTGAAAAAGAAACGAGTAATGGAATTTATAGAGAAACATTTTCATGTGACTAAATTTGAGGAGAAAATCCCTATGATGAACAAATTCGAACGTCCACCTTTGACACTTTGAACAAAAACTCTCTTATATTCTTATCAAAAATTCATCCGAATCAAAGTTTCTTGTAATGACTTTTTTCGCGTTCAGCGACGAATGTTTGGGCAAATTCCTTGAATCGTTGGCTATCATCGATGGAAGTTCCGATGAGATTGTATTTGCTCAACACGAGTCCATTGCCGAATACATAACGGCTGTTCCAGTACCAAGTCTTCATGTTATTCAAATCGAGTGTGCAGGCATCGTTGTGTATTTCATGGGCTTCGATGCCATGGTCCATAAACTCGAATGAATCACTCGTATGAAATGTGCATTTTGGGCAGCAAAAATTCCGTTCATGATTGGCCAAATGTTCGAAAAATGTAATTTGATCGAGATCCAAGTGACAGCAACCGCCAAGCAGTTGAACACTTTGATTGTCGTTGAATTCAATTCGATCAAATTCGAGTGTTTTGTGTTCATCCAAATAATGATCTTTCATATCATTTTCCGTTTCGAGAATCGTATCGCATCGGCCACATTTAAAATTTTTTCGTACGTTAATTTCGAGCAATTGGTTAACTGTACCCTCGCTCAAGCAGACCGGATTCATGATATTTTCTTGCAAAATCGTTGAATGCTCAAGACAAAAATGATCGATGAGATTATCGCTGACAAAATTGCAAACGCTGCACTGATTCTGGTTGATGGGATTAACCGCAACAAATGGTTGATTCGAGTGTTTTTGTGCATGATGTCTTACGAGATCATGGAATGTGCTCAAAGTCTGGCAATGGATGCATGCAACCAATGGAATTGCATGGAATCGAAATGGTAATTGATCTTCGGTTTCATGTGTCTTCGACCAATGAGTTAGAACATCTTCGACTTTGCTGAAATATGTGCCTGTCTCTGGACAATGTGCACACGTGTACATAATGTGACGATCAAACTGTGAGTTCATCTTTGTCATTTCCACCACGCTACTCGCTGTGAAGTTGTTGAAGCACATCAATGGGCTTAATCGAATTGCAAGCGGCCGTGTGTCGTGTTTCTGTCGATGATGTGCAATTAATCGTTCTTTTGTCGCCAATGTTGAGTCACATGAGGCACAAATCAAATGTTGCTGCAGCAAAAATGCACGATGAACTGGAATCGATACCACTTCCAGACTTCGTGTCATTCGATCGACGAATTGGATTGCAGTGAAGTCAACGTTGGCACCGGTGTGACTCATTTTGAAATGTTCCATCGCCAATGCCGTGGTGGGAACGTGTTGATGGCACATGTTACACTCAAACTTCACGTTGACATCATCAACTACCGATGCTTGACCCTTGGCATCGAAGTTTTTATGATGATATTTAAACTCAAGCGTCAAGTGACGGCGAATGAGATGAAGTTGTACTTCAAATTCCGTTGAAAACACACTTTGGCAATGGAAACACGAAAATAAATCATTGCCGTGCAATTCCAAATGACGCATCACATCAACTGGAGTGCACATTCGATTTCGATCATTGCTCGCTTCGAGTCGATCATTGCAATGTGGACATTTGAATCGTTTTATAATTCCGTGCATCTCTTTGAGATGACGCTCAAAATCCCCCGGTGCTTTACTCTGGTGACCACAGCTAGCAACACCGCATTTGTAGCGCTCCTCTTCAATGATGAATTTATAGCTCTTGCCGGTCGAGTTCATATTTTCACGCATTGTGTCCATGCGACGAGGGTCATTCGGCCTCTCTGAAATGATTGAAGAGTTTGATATTTAGTGAAAGAAATTGGTTTGGGGTATGTGATGGGTTGTCAGTGACAGCCTGTCACTGATCAATGATTACGAATTTTAATCGGTGAATCGACTGTTTCTTTGCTCATCATATTCTGTTCATCACTGACCGTACGACAATTTATTGAATGCAATCGCCGGATAACGATCCGCACAAATATTTATTGGAAAACTAAGCTTTAATGAAAAACAAAACAATTTCTGTGTTTGACTACCAAGTTAAGTTTCGATCAAGAAATGTCTCAATTCAGCTACATTCACTGTTGCAACCTAAAAAACTAGGCCTATTACTTCTTTTTATCGTTTCAATCACCATAGAAACCGATTTGACAAGCATCTCAAAACTTACTATGAGATTCTTTGTGGCCGTGTTTTCGTTTTTTCGACACTTCTTCTCTTGCTTCTCCTTCATTGGAGTGTTTTCTCTTCACTGGAGTGGCTTTGGATATACCGAAGTCATGTTCCCATACTGTAGACATGTTCCTGAAAAATTCATTGTGGAAAAAGCAAATTCAAAGTAATTAGCGTATGTTTCCATTGTAGCACCATCGACATAGATGATATGTAAACAAAACCACTTTAAGGCAGACGTCGATGTGTGGTTATGTCAATGATATAATATGTCATAAGCAAACTGAGTGGGCACTTGCAAATGAATATTAAATATTAAATAAATACACTGCGTAATTTCGAAATTCAAAATAAACTCAAAGCAAATCTACTTGCAGACCATGTTTAATTATATTCACACATGCCAAAGTATAGGCCAAAGCCGAAGCAAATTTGATTCTTATTGGAAAAGTCTGTGAAACTTGAGCAAACGGTCATAGTCCAATTGGAAACATTTTAGTTGTCCAGAGCTCGGTTTTTTGTATTGAAAAATTTGGCACACTTACATGGATCTAGATGTGTCGGACAACAGAATAACGGACCAGAGATACCACTGCCTTTAACGATCAAGTCGATCCAATTTACTTTTAACTGTTCAGCATTAAAACCGGGAAAATACTCTAATTGAACAAAAACAATAGGAAATCGGACCGCTATTTGGATACAAACGTCACTTCATTTAACAACAACAAATATACGTTCTGCAACAAGTGTCAAACTCACGGTGAATGTCAGCTGATATGTTGCTTCGCAATGCCAATTGAACGCTAAATTGGAACGCACTCGGAATGAATGCACAAATAGCTCTTTTTGAATTATATTTCCACTCAATTATTTCCAATTGGCATTTTTTTGGAACAATGTCCCAATTGAAAATGATGAAGTTTTTCAATTTTATGTTATGCAGCATAAGTTAGCTTACAATTTCTATTCGGTATTAAAATTTTCTAGGAAATAAATTATGCAAATTATTTCGAACATTGTTTTTATAGATTTTTAATGGGTTTTGGAGGAAAAGAAACGATTTTAATGGAAAAAAGAATTCCATTGACAGGTTTTTCTCTATTTTCCGGATACATATTTTTTGGGTTTACCATTTGAGCAATTTATTTTTAATGAAAGAAAAGAAAACATTTTTACAAAAATTGTGTGTAATTGTCATTTAAACGCATGTATTTTATGTATCGATAGATTGAAATAAAAGTAAAATATTTGACCAGAAAGGAAAACTTTTTATGTGATAATGATCGAGGAGAATTATTCTGATTACAACTCTAAATTTTGCTGAACAAAAGGCTTGTTATTTTCAATGGTTAATATTTCAAGTCAAACTGTTTAGTTCTGATTAAAGACATATGGAATTTATTAGATAAATGAACTTGAGATATTGATAAGGATAGCAAGTGACTTGAATTCGTCGATCACAATCCAATATACATTGCTTCATCTGATCGGTCAATGCTTCAATCTGACATTTTGATGCTTCCGTTTTTGCCATAACCGTTGAAATTATTACAGCCAAATCTGAATCGTCCAAAATACCACTGTAGTCAGCCATAAACTGTTCGAATTGTTCCTGGTTCAATTCGGAAAACGAAATACAACCGATTGATTGTCCCAGTTGAGCCTTAAGATTTGCTGGAGTTTCATTCAGTTTCTTTCCGTTTCTTTCGTGCACACTTGGCTTTGGCATAGACCATACATGCATCAATGATCGTCGATGCGCTGCACTTCGATGTCAGCAACTGATGTAAATATTTTGCATAGCGTATCGCAAGTGCATTCCAAAAAGCTGGTCGATTTCAAAATTGCTTCCGCATTCGATTTGATTGTTTGCTCGAAAAACTGTATCGTGTTCGGTATCTCGAGTAGAATGGCCAATGCATAGCCAGAGCACATCTCATCAACGGTAAATGACTTTTGCAATGGCTCTACACAGATTGCCAATGCTTCTACTAGCTCATACTTCTTGCACAAACTCGACACGTCGATGATGTGTTCGGATGTGAGTTGAACTTTATTCAAATAGAAAAATTGCAAAAATTCCTTAAACGCCGCAACAGATGCAATAACGATTGGGACGTCACCTTGTTCGGGCAACAAACCGTAGAAAATCGTATCAACAAATGTTGGACTGATTATCGACAAGATACTCTTGTGAGCTGGGACAGTTTCAACGTGATCAGTTCTAGCGCTGAATACAAATTTCACGTCAGCCGTTTTCGAATCCAAGTACAACTTTTCGGACTTGTTCCGAGTCAAGTGGTTATCCTTTGTAAACACGTTGCCGGTCATTGCTGTTTCGAATTAAAAAATTTATTCGGAACGATCAGATAATCAATGGCGCTGTGCACATTGTGAAAACTAATTTATTCTTCAATTTCCATATCAGAATACTTACTTTTGTAAGAAATTTTTACAGACTACATTTGAATCAATGCAGAATATTTTCGTTTTTTTTTCTTCTTAAAATGAAAAATGATATTCTTCTTAATATGACTCAATGTGGGTATCATGCTATCAATTGATCAAAAGAGGCACGAGTGTTTATGTCTGATTCATTATAAAATACATTTCAATATGAACTTGGCGTAATTGTCATTTAAACGGATTTATTTCATGTCTCTGTAAATTGGAATAAATGGGGAACTTCAAGTAATCAGTCACCAATTGGAAACAGAAGTGTATTTATGAGATATTGATTGGCGTAAATTATTTTGATTACAACTCTAATTTTCGGTTGGCAAAAGACTTGTTTATTTTCAAAGATCGAACTGTTTATTTCTGATTAAAGACATATGGAATTTATTTGATAAATGAACCAAGGATATTGTGAATGTTCGCTTAGATTGTAATCAATAATCTTATTCAATATCTAGAATATCAATATTGGATCTATTTTTATACGAATAGATATTTGAACATATTTTTGGAAATGTACCAAATCAAATCTAACCGTATTTTCTCGATCGTTTAAAATGTTACGAAAAATTATTGAAAATTATAAAGTAGGTATAGTTGAAGCTTCAAGACCAGGATTTTCTGGATTATTGACATATTGAATTAGTATCAAACCATTTAGGTGTTGAAGTCAATTATCTTGAATGATTTTAGTCTTTAGTATTTTGGAAGAGAAGTCGAGATACTGGTCCGAAAACGTTTGTAAATATGATTTGAATGTCATCCTGCAATCTTACTTCACTGTGGAATTTCTTGTTGTCTGAATGGATGTTTTGAGAGCCATCAATTCTCAATTCATATTTAACGTTTCGTTCGATTGCAATCGGTTGCTTGAGAACGGTGTGATATTTAGGATATTCATTCTTGGTTGATGTTATTTCAAGGCTCTGCAGTAATTGAGTTCCACGGTAAACTGATGCATGCACGTTGTCCATCGAATTAGAATTACTACAAAAACACGCCCAATGAACTTCTGTCAACAGTAGATTTTGAGTTGATGTGAAGAATGATGAAAGTGGTGTACGATTATAGCCATAGCTATGATTATTATTATTATGTCCACTATAGCAGCACGATTGAATTTCGCGGTTGCAATCCAACACGTTAGCACGTTCAATGGCCTTCAAAATAATTGCAGCAAAATCTGACTCGTTCAAAAAACCATTGTAGTTGGTCATAAACTGTGCGAAGTTTTCTTTGCTCAATTTAGCAAATGGAATGTATGCCCAAAGTTCTTTCAGTTGAACCTTAAGATTTGCTGGGATTTCTTCCAGATTCTTTCTTCCACATTCGGCTCTGGCCCAGGCCATGCACGCGTCAACGATCGCCGATGCGCTGCAGTTCACCGATTTCATATCCGGTGTAACCAACTGAAGTATTTTGTCGAGCGTGTCGCAACTGCAATCAAAAAGCTGGTCGATTTCAAAATTGCTTCCGCATTCAATTTGATCTTTTTCTCGCAAAACTGTATCGTGTTCGTTATCTCGAGCAGAATGGCCAATGCATAGCCGGAACACATCTCGTCGATGCTGAATGACTTTTGCAATGGATTTTCACAGATTGCCAGCCCCTCCACTAGCTCGTACTTCTTACACAAATTTGACACATCGATGATATGTTCGGGCGTGAGTTGAACTTTGTTCAAATAGAAAAATTGGAGAAATTCCTTAAACGCCGCAGCAGATGCATCAACGATTGGGACGTCACCCGGTTCGGGCAAAGAACCGTAGAACATTTTATCAAACATTGGACTGACTATCGACAGGATACTCTTGTGAGCTGGGACAGTTTCAACGTGATCAGTTCCAGCGCCGAACACAAATTTCACGTCGGCTGTTTTCGAATCCAAATACAAATTTTCGGACTTGTTCCGAGTCAAGTGGTTGTCAAACACGTTGTCGGCCATTGCTGTTTCAGATTATAGAAAAAATACATTTACAACTCAAGCAAGACTATGAGTCATAGCGCATTGCGCATTGTGAAAATAAATTTATTCTTCAAATTCCATTTCAAAATACTCACTTTCTGTAGAATCTTTTGATTGCTTTGACGTTTATGTTTCGAATTCAAATATTTCAATTCTTTCGATCAGAAATTAATTATTTCAATAATTTTTTAGACCTTTTTTGTTGCGAAATTGCCTACGCTCTGAATCGAATGACTCATTTAATATAACTATGAATGTGCAAAGAACTCTCATGTGTATTTTTCCTTCTAAATTTTGACACATCTCCTAACCTGATGAAAATGATCATTAAACGCCTACCGAATGCGTTCTATTCAAGTCAACGTATTTCAATCCAAAAATTACTTTCAATGCAAATTAAAGCTCTAGCAAGAATAGTTCCTGAAATAAAAATAAAATTTCGTTTGGGCACTTATTACATTTGAATCAACATCTCGCAGAATTTTTCCGTTTATTTTCTTAAAATGAAAAATGAGACTATGACATTCTTTGTAATACGACTCAAGTAGGTGATCCAACGAAATATTATTTTGCTTTGTATCATTTTAATGTTATGGCCATTGGCTTCAGCTATTGTTTGGATGTATGGATTAATGGATTTGAGTGGGGAGCACCGCAAGGATGCTCGTCGCGTAGGTCATGAGACCTTTTGCAAAACTACCCGTTTAAGAGAAAAGATTTGACTACTGTATTCCCAAGTGTTTTTTCATCCATATTTACTGTGTGACATTTCCAGAAGGCCGCAATGCATTTGAGGCATTGCTCCTACTGGATCTTCTTGTAAAAAAGGATGAGTCGGCAGTATGAGTACTTCTCAAAGTGGAAAATCTGCCTGACTTAAAGACGAAGTTAAAAATTTTACTGATTTGAAAGTTAAGTACTTCGTTTGGTGTAAGCATATCCATACCGAAAATATTTCTTCTGATATGGCTTAGTGCAGGGCAATTGCATAGGAAGTGGAGAGAGGTCTCCTCTCCTCTTCCACAAAAATCGCAATCGGGGTCGTCAGCTATTGTTTAGAAAAGGCACAAGTAAATCATGTATGATCCAATGGATTATTGATCCATGGTCAAAGCGAATTTCAACACCAACTTCGATTTCAATGTGTTGGTCGAGGTAAATTATCGAATAATGTCATTTTTCCATTGGTCTTCAAATCTCAGATCCGTATTTCTGGTCGATAACAATGTTTGAACCTTTGAAAAAAAAATAGTTGATTTTGCTTATGGATTTTTTCTCATGAAATACTAAAATTAAATGGACAAAAGAAGAACCGAGATAAATATTGAAGTAGCGAATCACTTTGGTGGTTTAAAATTTCAGATAGCAACTAAATAATTTACCACTCAAATCGAATTGGGAAAATGTATTTGATACATTTTTTAATATATTTGAATGCAAACGATTTCATTTTTATGGAACAGAAGAGGGTGAATTGAAATAAAAATGGAAATCACATAAGAAATGCAGCCTCAATAAACGGATAGATTTAAAATAGAGTCTGATGAGCGTATTTGAACGCACTCTTTCTTATTTATAACTCATTCCGATTTAAGTGTGTCCAAATGTCAAAAAGACTTTCAAGCCCATTCATTCAAGTTCTCGCTTTGTTCGAAGTCACATACATTGAGCCTAGCTCGTGAGAGTGATTTTCCATTAAATTTTTGGCCAAATCTCACAAGTATTTGTGAATTCCATAAAATAGAGGCAAATTGTTTGTTTGAATCTGAGTTTATCGTGAATTTACATTGAAATGTAAGTATTTTAGTGATGATGAATTTTGTTATAACTTCATTGAACAAAATTTGAACATAACCTACATCTTCAATGAACGATAACATAAATCGTCAGTGGTTTTGAAACAAGAGAACTTTTCATATAGGAATGTTCCATTTCAAGAGTATTTTCAAACCTTTATCGTGAATCATTGAATACAAAGCATTTAACGTAACTTAAAAATTAATTTAATTTTCAGCTTGATGCGACGAATATTTCGGTGATGGTTAATAAAAGGAAGCGACGATGTCAAACACCGAAGCGAAACAACCGAGCAAAGCGACAACGACTAGCAAATGACAATGAAGTGGTGTGTGCTACACAGATTGTAGACGTAAACAACGATTGCCTTGAGCATGTGTTCAACCACTTGAGCCTGATGGATCTTATCAATGTGGCTAGCGCGAACAAACAGCTTGGACCAGCCGCAGCCACTGTTTTTGCTCGCAAACATGGAAAAAAGATGGTGGAGATCTTGGCCTGTGACTTTTCATCAAAATTTTCGGAGACAGAGGCAGTAGAGGTGACCAATGATGCTATTCTCATCAGCAAACCGGCGGTAGCTTTCAGAATTCTGCGTCTTTTTGGTGATGTTATTTTCAACATAACGATGAGAGGTAAATGGCCCTTTCATGTCGAGCGATTGAATGAACAGCAAATACCTTTGGGCAAACATACCTTAGCCTATATCAACGAATACTGTTCAGACAGCCTGAAATCACTTGCACTCGATAGCGTTGTTTTCATGTTTGCAGACGCAAAAAAGCCATACAAAAATGTTGAAGAGCTTTCAATCGAACATGGAACCATTGGATTCGAGGCATCGCAATTCAATGACACTTTCCCGAAGATGCATCGCTTGAACTTAAATTTCAATGCTTTTTCCGATCACAAACACTTTGCCGGTAGACTTGAGCAGCTTGAACACTTGAAAATCGGATTCTTTGGTTTGTGCGATGGACTCACAAGAACCGATGTGAGAAAGATCATATGTCTAAATCCTCAACTACAAAGTTTAAGCCTTATGGGTGACTTCAATTTGAAATTTTGGGACTACGCCAGCAAGCAATTGAAACAACTCATCGCTCTGGAGCTATACTTTGACCAAGATGGTTCCCAAAAGTACCCAGTTAAACCGATCCGATTTGAATGTGTCGAAACCCTCAAATTGAACATTGCTCCAAGTGAAAATAAGTGGAAGCCAGAGAAAGTGTTGGTGTTCAAACAACTCAAACATTGTAGACTAACCGGTCGTTTGAATGATTCTTGGATTGATTTTGCCGTTGGGAGCCCATCGATTGAGAAACTCGAAATCGTCATGAAATTTCCACACTCATTTTTTTTCACTGAACATCAAATGGCACAACTCGCTGCGAATCTCCCGAATCTGACTGAATTGAGCATGACTCGGTGCTCATGTTCCGTGAAAGCAGCAATTCGATTTTGGAACGAAAGCCAAACTGTCCGCAAATTTACATTGACAGTTTTTGATAAAGATGACCTGGACGAGCTTTACTCCAAGATCACATCGGATTGGAACGCAACCAAAATGCGCGAATTAATTGTAATCGAACGAAAGGAGTAGTTTCGGGTGTTTGACGTTACAAATAGTTTTCATCTTGGAATGCCTTCTGCATTCGGACTATGCTTGAATGCAAATTGAACAACATACACACATATCGAAGTACCAAATCAGTTGGTAGCTTTAACAGTTTACTCAATATGATTGTAACACTTTCGTTCACATAAAGTGATTGTTCTTTTTCATTGATACAGATATAATTAACATCAAAATAATTGTTTGAATATAAACCAATAGCCACATGAGATCTAATTTTTGGCAATTTGTACCCAATTTGTATTATTCACGTTTTTTTCTATTCTATTTTACAATAAAATTCAATTCATGAAATTTCAAAGCAGAAAACGGATCCAAATTAATTTCGAAAGTAAGAAAATTTAAAACAATGATAAGATTGGTGTAAATAAAACAAAAACCATGACGTCATAAGGTGAGTACTAGGCCAAAATAAAAAGTTTTACGAGCGTAAAACGGACTTTTCCGCACAAGTATTTTTTTATATGCTTACGGGTCAATAAATCACATTTGAATGAAAAAAATGAGATAAAAGATAATGGCCAGCATATTATAACACTATCATATTTAATGACAGCTGACCGCAAAAAAGAGCCAAAGTAATCATGTAAAATGACCCATAAAGTATATTTTTAAATGAAAAAAAGTTGAAAATAAAAATTAAAAAGAAGACCATCATGGTTGACCAATCATTTAACACGGCTAACGATAAGAAAATGATATAAAAAACCAGAAAATGCATTTTGAAATGAAAAAAGTTGAAAAAAAAAAATTCAAAAAAAAAATAGAAAAAAAGTCAATAATGGTCGGCCATCGTGTTATAAATCATTTAACACGGATTAACATGATAAAATCGTGTTAAAACAAATCAAAAATCCGTTCTATGATAACAAGAAAAGAAATTTTTTTTCAAAAAAATCCATGGGTGAAATTCTATGACATCCGAAAATTACCAGATGAACTAGTCCAATTTGGCCCAACTTTTGATACATCCAAGGTATTTACTAATAGTGACTCCTGGCCAAATTTGAGCGAAATCGTTCAAGCGGTTTTAAAGTTATCGTGGACACAACCAAAAATCGTAGTTTTTGGGCCATCATGGTCGGCCATCGTGTTATAAACCATTTTAAATAAAACTATGTGAGAACGATACAACAATCCACTCTAGGTTGATGAAAAAAGACATTTTTTTTTCGACATAATCCAAGGGGGGACCCTTGGGTGATTTTCTATGATGTCCCAAAAGTACCAGATGAACTGGTCCAATTTGGCCCAACTTTTGATACATCCAAGATATTTACCAATTGTGACTCCTGGAAAAATTTGAGCGAAATCGCTTGAGCGGTTCGAAAGTTATCGTGGACACAACAAAAATTAGCACACTTTTTATCACGTCGATCGCTATACTTTTCTCACACACTTCGTGTGGGGAAAAGTAATTAACGTGCGTTAGACCATAGCTGAAGTGACTCACTGCAAGTGAATGTAACATTTAATTAGATGAATCGGTTATTATTTTAGGTGTTACAAGTTCAACACTTGCTTTACATTCGTGATTTGGGCAATTGATTCTCTACATGTGATTTATGTCAACCGAAAATTGACAAATTCGAGCTCACGCCAACAATATTCGAATCTGTTACTTCAATCAACAACCAATCTAATAGAATGTGTCTTGTTTCAAGAGAATTTCAAAGAAGGGAGCAGTTGAATATTGAAATACCTTTGCTCGATTTGTCAACTTACTTTGCATTAGTTGTCAAGCATTATCAAATTGGGTCTATTAATAGAATTCTGATTAGTATCGAAAAACAGACATGAAACTAATCTACAACAATTTAAACGAAATTCAGTCCGTTGTCCGTTAATTATACTCTCTATTTAACGAAATGAACGTGTACTTGGTTTGGAATACATCAAATGTTCCATAATCAACAATGTTGATTCAACATATGTGTTTCCAATGCAAAACATTTTCAATTGTCTCCATATGTTCGTTTCAGCTCCACGCTCTCAAAATGAATTATTATTCAAGATTTCTAGCAAAAGCAATGGACTAACTATGCAGAAAGTTCTCGATCGCATAATATATACGACGCAGCTTTGGCACGTGTCAATAAATATGATTTTAATTATTTTTAAGCAAGAAGAGATTTGGGATCTTTTTAGTCAGAAACCTGATTAGACGACTGAGTGAAGTGGTGAATGCGTTAAAATCAAAATAATCAAAAACCATTTTTTCTAATCTAATCATGTTTCTTACTCAGTCAATGCTTGTTGTTTTCGAAAATGAGCATTATATTATCATTTAAACCAACCATGTACATTACACTGTGATCTATGACCCTTTTTCCGTGATAGCATTCGTAACGTAACGTAAGTAATACTATTCAAAACGCGTTCCATACTATAAACGCATTTGAAACGCGTTCCGTATTGTAAACGCAGCATTGCGTTATTAGTCATTAAACAGATAGACGAACAAACGTCATTTCGGTTTGTATCAGTTCATTCGGTGTGTGTACAGTGTTCGTACGTGAAGTCTGAAAATACATTTAGTGATTTATTGAATAATGAGTGATACCAAATACTGGGCATCTTTGAACGAAATGTTACAAAAAGATGAAATCGAATTTGACCAGCCAACCAAATCATCGGCGTTGCCATTGAATTTAATTTTCAAAAGCCGTGAATCAATAAAAAAAGGTGTTGAATTTGCATTGAAAAATTTCAATGAGATCGCAAAGTTGGAATATGAGTTTAACGACGGCCAGCCGGCTAAAGCAACGATCAAGCACTTACAGTGGGCAAAAGTGTACATTGAGAGCAAAAAAAGTGTTTTAAAGCCTACAAGTGTTTCAGTTGTAAATGCTCAATCGATAGTTTCGGTTGGACAATTTTTGCTCGATTGTCATTATGTAGCAACACAAAGCAGTTTATCTGAGTTCAAAATCCAAACGGATACCAAACGAAAAACACTGATCACATATTTGTTTGGAAATGAGTTTATTGAAGAAGTGAACACGACATCGGCTCCATTGCCAAATGAATTCAAACTGGTTGACACCTCATCCACACAAATCATATTCGAGTCTGGAGACGTTACATCTGCTCTTGATGAGTTGATAATGAATGTTTACGATCGTACTTTGTCACCATGGCGAATTAGATCAGTTTATATTGAAGAAACATTGAAGAATTCAATTTGGGATTTGCTTAAAAGTGCAGCTAATAACATAATTGGCCCAAAATTAACCGAAGAAAATATGAAAAATTGCGAAGAATTAACCAAACGGTTCGGCGGAAAGTTTGTCAATGGCTTCTTGCTTGATGTTCCAACAAAATATTTACCACAACCAACGAAACAGACAGATTTTAATCAAATTCCCGTGGTTATTAACTTTTTCCGAACAACCAAAGAAGCCATTCAACTGGTAAATGCTGATGTTCAACCGGACGTAAAGCATATCACATCAATTTGGACTGGAAATATCGAGATTTACTACGAATTAGCAGCTGAACTCAACGCTGAAGTCATTTGGAGCAACTCTATTGCAGTGTTTGATGATGCTATACCTTCTCTTACTTCTACCGAGTCTCTTTTGGACTCGGAACAAATCTCCAGGTTCGATGATGATTTTATTCTAGTTTTTTTTCTATTTTGTCATAATTCAACTCAATAATAAATTGAACATTCGATTTCAGTGCAACGTCAACGATCAACACCAAAGGAAAATACGCCGTTCATGTGCTTCAGACTGCAAACAAGACTCCGAAATATCTCTACATTCCGTTTGGCAAAACATTCGCAAATTGATTTTTTTTATACTTCAAATGTCGCGAATAAATGCAAAATGAAACAATAGAAAACAATTGAACTTTTTTGTCGGAAATCTTAGACTCATCTTCACATTGTAAAAGTATGGAAACGAAACATAATTGATTGATAGTTGGTATTTTAGGTCTATGTCGATGTCTTTGACATACACTGTATATGTGTCAAGTGATGTGGACTGAAGAAGGTAAGCTGTTTATGAACTGTTAGCGTGTCCAATGCAATGGACAAATTGACCTTCAAAAATTGCCATAGACCAAGCCGGCCTTGTTGTCAAAAAAGACTTTCATCCGCTTAGAGTTTGGCTTGCAGATTAAAACAGAATTTGGGTTAAATGAGACTAAGAAAAAACAAGTAAACGATGCATGTTATGAATGTTTTCATACCATTGCCTGTATATTACCCTAGATCGCTTAGACATCACAACGATAAGCAAAATATATTCGATACTTTATCAATCTTTATGAGTCAACCAGACCGAATTATTGAAAAATTAGCGCCATCGAACTAAATCTACTCTAATATTTTTCAATGTTTCTCTGAAATGTTTGTGTCATTTTCAGGTTTTTGATCGTACGATAGTGGGAATCGAACTCGAAACTAATCTTACTAACTAATATATGAAAAAAGTTGGTATTTATGCGTTTCTGTTACCGTAGTGCAATTGTATTTCATATGTTCATGCATACACATTCAAAGAAGTGAACACAATGATTGTTGAAACTTTGTCATGTAAAAATCATATGGCAACGGCCCTGCTTACCACGTATTCTGTTGTTGGATTCGTTTTGAGTGTACCATTGTTTTTATGCATTCGAAGTAAAAAAAACTACTGAGCTTTTAAAATGTAAACATTAGATCAAAAAACGCACGCAAGTTTTCGTATCAGAAACAAAGAAATATTGCACGGTAGCAACGGAAGAACACAGAACAATGCTTTTCAATGAAAAAAAAAACATTGTGAAAATGGTAAACAAATTATTCACAGTGAATATTCTATTTATTTAGATATACTACTGTGTCCAAAAAGTAAGGTGACATTGCATTTAAAATTTAGCGCGCTGGGGAATTTGAAAAAATCCTTTTATTTTTAGGTTGGTAGGACTGTCTTTGACATCCCTGCCAAATTACACGTCAAAATATTCATTAGTGTTTGAGATACGCTTCGTTTTGTGGACTGCTAAAAGTGAATTTCTCGTTTTTTGCGATGTCGAAATTTGTTGATCAAAGAATTTGCATTAAATTTTGTTTGCGGAATCAATTTTCTGCTGCGGATTCGTTGAGGATGGTGCAGAAAGCCTTTGGTGATGAGGCTATGTCGAAAAAAAATGTTTACAAGTGGTATAGTGAGTTCCAAGCAGGCCGATTAACGATTAGAGACCTTGCTGATGATATTGGCATATCGAAAGGCTCAGTCAATACCATTTTGAAGGATGTTTTGGGCCTCAAACGCGTCAAATCTCGACTGGTACCGAAATCATTGAATTTTTTGGAAAAAAGGTGTCGAGTTGACGTGTGTGAAACAATGCTTTCTGACTACATTGACAAGACGAAATGCATGATCACTGGAGACGAGACTTGGATCTATGCTTACGACCCGGAAACAACCGACCAATCGAGCGAATATCGTGCCAAAGGTGAGCCGAGACCAAAAAAACCGCGCCAAAGTCGCTCAAAAATCAAGGTCATGTTCACTGTTTTCTTCGATTATCGGGGTGTTGTGCATTATGAGTTCCTTCCCCCGGGTCAAACAGTCAACAAGGAATATTATTTGAGTGTTATGCGTCGTTTGCGTAACGCTATCCGCCAAAAGAGGCCGGAATTGTGGAAAGACAACTCTTGGTTTTTGCACCATGATAATGCATCGTCTCACAATGCGATCATTCTTCGTGAACATTTCGCCAAAAACTCGACTCATATCGTTCCACAACCACCGTATTCACCTGATTTGGCACCGTGCGACTTCTGGCTGTTCAACAAGCTCAAAAGACCGCTCCGGGGACACCGTTTTGAGACGATAGAGCAGATTGAAGCCGCAGCGAAGACGGAGCTGAGGGCCATCCCTGAAGTCGACTTTTTCAACTGTTTCGAAGATTGGAAAATCCGTTGGCATAAGTGCATTGTATCGGGAGGGGATTACTTTGAAGGCGATGAAATTGATTTGGAAGAATAAATAAAGAATTTTCAAAATAAATGCAATGTCACCTTACTTTTTGGACACAGTAGTATCATACGAAAATTTATATAAAACTAATCTTTTAAATGAAGAATATTCGAAACAAAATTAATCTTCACAAAGACAACTATTTTTTAAAAATGTTACTTTCAATAGCATTACATAAAATGCATGAATCATTAAATGAAAAGATTGTTCCAGGTGAATCAGGTTTCACATGATTCTTATTTTTTAATCCATAAGTACATTTGCAAACTAATCTTAATACCGGAAAATTAATATCGTTTTTTTCTCAAGAAATACTGAAATACAAATTTAACTAAAATCATAAAATGTATATGCTTCAGAAAAATTGTTAGTAAATACCATATCTTTAAAATTATATTGGACTAAGTCTAATATTGGAGAAAAGAAAAACAATTTTTTTGTTTGTTTGTTTGTTTTTAGAGACAAGAGAATCAATGCTTTAAGATGTCAAAGGTTTATATGCGATTGTGTTCAGTGGAAATGTTCAGCTGACGGATGTAAGATCCAGTTTATTCTATTTTGATATTGTTTTTCATAAATCACGAGCAGACTCCGTTTCGCTCGCTTTTCTCACTCCTTTCAATTTAATCAGCTTCAATTAGGTCGAATTATTCATTAATTAATGATTGCTGTTTGCTGTTTGCTGCAATTGTCGTTTGACTGTCTGTTCAATTTTGCACTTACTTCAATTTATTTGATTCGATGCGCTGATAGTTGAAATTGTGCTTTGAAACTATTCGCATTATTCGGGCAACACGATAGAAAAATGAAGCTGCTTGGCTTCATCGTTTTAATCTGTATTTGGATGGAAGGCGGTAGTTCTCAGCCACAGCAACAACAAATAGAGAATTTAGAAAAACAACTACAAATACTACAATCGCAAGTGGACCATCAATTCCAATATTTAAAAAAGGTTTGATGTTTGTGAATGTGGATACATAATTCATATTGTACATTTTTACCTTTTCCTTTTTATACCAGAAATATTTTGAAACAGTTCCTAAAAGCGGCAAATTGAAGAATATGTATTTATCCATGAGAGGGAATAATGATTCTGTTCGAATAGAAATTCATAAAGAAATAATGGAAAATTTCGATGAAAAAATGTACAAAAGATTTGAAAATATCAACCCACAAATGGTGAAAGATTATAAAGAATTTTTTTCAAAGATCTTTGACGAAGCAATCCACTCAATGAATGATAGAATATTTAATCTATTTGACCCTCCTTCGGGAGTAAAAATATTGAATGTAACGAAAATTCAACAAAGACAAGAAAGAATTTTGCGTGACAAGGGTGGCCAATTGGAATATGAATTTTTCCGGGCAGATTATAATGAATGTCTTGAATTATTAGCAATGGATCTGTCTAAGTACCTTTCACTAGATGCAGTTTCTCGTATAATTAGTTTGCATCGTATGCTATATGGGAATCGAACAGAGATTGAAACTGCATTGGTGAGTATAGTTTAATAAATGAGAGCATATGTTGGTATTGTTCTCCCTGTCTCTTTCTCAATCAATTTCATATATTTATATTTTCAGTCTTATCTGTATGTTCATGCACCTGCTTCGACAATCGGATCCGTAATGGATGGAACGAGCACCTCGCACTGACGAATTCATAATAATATCAAAAAATTAAAAAAAAATCAAATGGTAGATACAGAATTTCGATAGAACTTTTCAAAATCAGCTACAATTGAATAAAGTTTAGTTCTTTTCGTATCAAAGTTACGTTTTCGATAACTGAATGAACAGAAAATTCACAAATTACAGTTTTCGTTTTCATCAATCTTTTATTTGTACTTGAAAATGCGATTTTTAAAATTCTCATAAAAATATTAGATTAAATTGTTATCATTGAAATGTTTTGCATCCTTCAAATATTCGTTGACCGCGCTGGAGTTAATGGAACACGATTCAAATACATCTCTTGATGATTCTTCACCTTCCGATGTCAATATTTTGTCATAGTTATCGTTGGAATGTTCAGCAATCCAAATTGCATTGAGAGCGACATAAACTGTACCGTATTGGAAATGGCTTTCTTCCACGAAATTTGAAATTGTCATTTTTGGACTTCGAAATAATATTTTTTCAGAGTCGTCTATTATGTCAATAGTGATATAGTCGGTGTCGTTTAATTTTAATCCTGAGTGATATACACTGTTAATTTTTTTCCATTTGTTGTATGAAACGGTGATCATTTCTGAAGTGAATACCGCATCCGTTCTCTTCAAAAGAGGAGAATCGAAAAAAACCCGAACTTGTAATATTTTAAGAGTGGACCACACAGAACCTATCATATACACTCCTTCTATGCTGACGGTAAAACGGCCTTTTCCTACAAAACAAAGAATCAGGAATTAGAATTGAATTATAGTTCTTTATGAAGAATTTCGTCAATTTTTTTCCGCATTTAAGCTAATATTTTTTCCACCTGTTTTTGTGCCGCGAAAATTTTTGCATGTTTTATCAAACATATTAACTGCTCTGGCAATTGGCACTTCCAACCGATCTCGCGCAAGGGCATGATAGTCACTGATACAATAATGGTCGCCAGTGTATGATGTGCGTTTATTATTTTTGATATACTCCAAATTGTCTTTGATGGTATATTGCAAGTCATTATTTATTTTGCATCTAATTAGGTAATGTTTCGGCTCAGCATGTCGATCCAATTTTCTCATTTGATATGAATTTAAGATGTTGTATATATCTTCCAACGAAGTTGATTCTCCTGATAATTCAATTTTTTTATAACGATGTAACAATACCAATTGAAAGTTGTCTTCCAAGAGATCTCTCATTTTACAGTTTAAATCACTTTCACCTTCGCGAACAAAATTTGTGAAAAAAAAATAAAAATAATAATTTATTAAGATTTAAATTGATTTTGTTTTTACCTTCGAGATATGGCATTGTTTTGGCTGCCAAAAATGCAATTGGTGCCATCGTTAAAATCAATTGGCTCGTGACGGATGGAAATAAATGGTAATTTAAATTTTGTGATGACAATTGCGAAACAATTTCAAGCATCTCTCTATTTGCAACTTCCAATTGTACACAAAGTCTGGCAGGATATTTGTGTAATCTTTTGATACCGACGATAATGTTCGAAATGGTGATGTGTTTTTTGTATAGGTCTGCTCGTACATCGTCTCGAATCTTTAATTTTTCGATAATTTTGCCCAATGCATCTTTGTTTTCATATTCTTCCTTCAACGTATCATACAAAACTGTAGCTAAGGTACCCACTACATTCAACGAGTACTCATCTGTAATGGTTAAAACAGCGGACACAAAGCTTACATCGAAGTTCATTGCCGGATCTGCCGCTAGATTGGTTGATTTTTCCAACGCTTTTGATACTTCCGTGTCGAACGTTTCTTTCAAAAACATGGAATCCATCACCGCAAAGTGAATATTTTCGTACGTAAGTTGCTGTGTTGAACAAATATTTAAGAATATGAATGGTAATCGTTTGAGATATCAAACATTTTATCTCGTTATCTTTTTATCCACGAGAACAAATAGTAACCACACAATTTATTTAAGACGATATTTGAAATGAAAAAAACAATAGAATAAATGTTCTAGAACGCATGAATTCACTTACGCCAAACGTGGAACGACTTGTTACAATGATAAATAAAAGCAAACCAACAACTTCAACTTTCATTTTTTTCTTCATTTTTTTCGTTTCAGAGAACTGTATTCAAAGACTGTTGACTGTTGAAGATAATAGTCGGAATGAAGTATATGTAAAATGAAATGAATATAAATTGAAAGAAAAAATTTGCAATGACAATATTCCTTTGAAAATATTTTTGTTGTTTACTTCGATTAACTTGAGTTAAAAATCAATGGAATCTCGATTATTGCCGCATCTAGTTCAGTCTTATATCAGATTATAATCGCATTGTTCTCACGGCATAGCTTACTCAATCAAAGGGTTAGACACAAATTCATACTCAACAAACACTCGGCGATACTAGAATCTACTCGATGCTACTCGGTGCCATTTGGTTCAGTGTATTGTGTAGTATACACAGAGAACTGTCAAAGTCAACTGAGTGTTTTGAGTAGTTTCGAGTTTACATTTAAAATGCATGGATTTACTCGGAACTACTCGGTGCAAAATGAGACAAATTCGTCAAAACTTGTACGTTAGAAAACTGTGTCTACCCCCTTGTACTCAATATATTTCAAAGTTTTTCGGAGATTTATGAAGAGAGTGCGTATATTAACTACCTAACTACTTATTAATTACAATAGACAAGAATATAATTCTCAAAAATTTCAAATTCAGATGAACATGACGATACATTCCAATTTTTGGTGGAAACAAACGAGAAATGTGAATGGATCTGGAGGTTTTATTCGAAGTTCATCATTTGTGGGTTTGCTGTGAGCACAGTGACTGTTTCAACACTTTCAATTGTCTTTTGTTTGTTGATCAACGAAAATTTTGATATTCGATACTTTTATCATTCATTCAGCATACATCATTAACACGGGTATAAAACGATAACAACAATAACAAGTATTACGGATCAATTTGCTATCTCACATTATGTAAGCCTGGTCACTCGAATTGAAATAGAGTAATTAGAGTATTTGAAACAATGATATCATAAGGTGAGTTAAGAGCTAATAAAATCCATTCGTGAAACACATAATCGATCGTCCACGGACGAATATTGTCATTAAAGGTGTTGACATTTAAGGATTCCATTAGCACAGAATCTAGTTTATTTTTCCGACGCGTGTTTTTCTTTTCTTTCTCTGGCACAAGAGCCAGACTAGGAGTACCACGCGATATTTTAGGTTGCCCTGAATTCAGAATAGACCATGGTTTAGGATCCTGCACTCATTGGTAAAAAGTTATGACCTTCGCTTTCGTCAACGAAAGATTGAATTGGCGCCTAGACAATTCAATTTACGAAATAAAATCCATAGTAAACATGCCACACCATGTTAATTGGATAAATCTAAAGTGCTCAGACCATTTCTAAAATGGGCAAACAATTTTTTAATTTCCGAAGGATACATTTCAAAATCCAATTAAAAAAATCACAAATTTTATTTGTTGCTACCATATTTGTGTCCTTCATTTATTATGTGATTTGAAAAAAATTTAATTGCATTTTCATTGATTCAAAACACGTTCGCTATAAAATTACGTGTTTACTTTGATCAGCATTTTGTTTTCAGTTCACTTCTACTTGTTTTCTGAAGGTTTGAAAAGATTTCAAAATGAATTTCGGTGTTTTTTTCCTGAGTTTTTTCTCACCGATCAAATCCAAGTTGGAGAAAATTTTGCGATATTTACAACAAAATTCGTTTCTCAGGAAATTTTGTGAAGAAACAAATCTCCATGGATTCAATCACATTGCCAACAGGAATTACACGGCGTTTGAAAGGTTTTAGTTTAGATTTCTTTCCATTTCTGCGTGGAAAATGCTAATTTTTCGTTTTATTCCAGATTCGGCTGGCTGGCATTGGTTCTGTTGTTCACTTATTTTGCGCTTTCCATTTGTATCGATCTAGTGTCACGATTCATAAGTGATCCATTCGTTCTAACTTTGGAAGAAAATTATCGCGACTGGACATATAATGTGCCAGCGATGACAATTTGTTCAGATTATGTAAACGAGAGTTTTATTGACGAGTATTATCGACACTCCGAAAATATTGCTTCGATCAATCACAACTCAAAAGTCTATCGTGACTACAATCATATATGAAGATGATTGGTTCGTTGAATGCAGAAAATATCCATTTGATCGACGAATTTGAGAATACGGATTTATTCAAAAGTCTCAGCGGAGAAGAAATATTCGATATCGCACTGAATGTATGTACATTAGTTGTGGTACTGCAATCTTGAAACTTCTAACGTCTTTTCAATAATTCAACAGCAAAAGCACATCAACGGAGAAGAGCTAATCAATTATCAAGATAACGTATGAATGGTTTTGGTAATTTTATCATCAAAACTGCTAACGCCTTTTCAATATTTCAATAGGGAAATGGAACTTCTATTCCATCATCAATTGACTTGATTCGCCCCATAGTCACGGAAGCGGGAATATGTTGGTCAAGCACGAATCTGTTCAAATACTTCAAGGCAATACAAAATGAGTATGATATCAATTTTAAATAAATAATTATGTTTCCAGGCGCCAAATGTCCCATTCTTATCGTTGAAAAAGTTTGCATTTTTAAATATGATTTTTTGAATCAATTGATTTTTCCTCATTTGTTTAAAATGACATTTTATGAGCTGCCCGAAAAGGAGCAAACAGGTCCTTATTTTACTCTCAGCTTCAGTGAATGAAAGGTCGGAAATAAATGCACGGTGCCAATACACACAGAAATACAAGATGCCTCACATTCGTACTTTTCTACACTCCCAAACATATAATTTCCAATTAAATCCAATTCACCATGCATTGAAATTAGGAAAGAATCATTTTTTTTTAATCAGACCTTAATATCAGAGCGATTTCAATACTCAGTTTTTTATACATTGTGACATAGCGACATTTTTACCGTGTTTTTGCGTACAGCATATAGTGTACCACGCACCTACTCTACGACCCTAGAAAAACGCTAGATTTTGAGATTTTCGGCGTTGAAAAATCTGGGGCGATCCCAATACTTTTCTTACACGACATGGTCGTGTAGGAAAGTAATAATCTATTTCTATTCACTCACAAAATGTTTGGCATTGAAAGCCGCAAGTGTAGATTCGACTCGGAAACTACTACAGACCGAAGCTACCCATTGGGACAGTATACGCAAAATCTATGTTTAATGGAGTGCAGCGTCGATGTAGCAATCAATCTTTGCGGATGTCGACCATTCTTCTACAAAATTGGTGAATGTTCTTGTCTTGACTACTTCCTTTGAATCATACGATAGTCCATTTAACGTGGTTAATTGCAGGTGCTGGGCCAATTTGCAACGTCAATGGAATGTAAGAAAAACCACCTCAATTGTTAACCAAATAAAGATTTAACAGATTTTTACGTTGTCTTAGGATTTGCCTATCAAAAAATCGTTGGAAAGAGACACGCAAAAACTGTTCATGTTTGCCACAATGCAATTCAATCGAATATTCATTCACACGGGCTTTTTTTCCGTTTCACGTATTCTACATCCGCTACTTGCCCTTCATTCCAAGCACAAGGCTTAAACGAGATATCAAATTTGGTATTCATTTTTTGGTTGGTGCGTTCCAATTTATTTGAATCACTATGTGATATTAATGGTTCAGATTCGTAATCGTCTTTTTAATATTCGAATATGTGTCTCTTTTCTCCCAATATAAGTGTTGGTCGGTGGTGCTGCGGCACTATTTCTCGGATGAAGTTTCATCAGTATAATTGAAGCCATTTATTTTGCCACAAAATACTTGCGTCGAGACAAATTTGCGAACTCATGTCGAGACAGAAATGCTAGTAGTACCACACGATATAATACGATGGTCATTAAATTCGCACGTCGTTTCAATTACTTTGTAAGGAATAATGGCTTGCATGGCACCCGATATTTGGATCGTCGATATGGACCGATTGATCGGTGAGACAACATGGTTCTTTATTTTTGAGTATTATTATTGTTGAACGGTGATGCTCGATGACACCAGTCCACAAGAATTAACATGATTTTCTATTTCAAGCTTATTTTGGATATGCGTCCTCATTGCTTCGGTTATTGCAATGATTGTGGTCTCCATGTACATACTAAATGACTACTTCGACAGTCCAGTTGTTGTCAAGGTTGAGACGATTGTTCCGAACAAGGACATTGCATTTCCAGCAGTGTCTGTTTGCATTCAGAAATATGACAATAACAATGCAAACACCGAGAGAGTTGAACAATTTGTCAAAAAATATTACGCAGAACATAACATTGAAGTACCTCAAGAGTAGGTTTATTGGTGAGTTATTTGGAACAGAGAAATTATCTTATAGACTGTTTTCATTTTTAGTAAGGACTTCTACGATCAACTTATGATCTATGCTTATGCATATCATAGAAGTGACGAGAATGGAAAACGGCCCATGACATTCGAAGAATTGAATGCATGTGAGAATGCAATCAACAGCACTTGTGGTGTGGATATCGAAACTATAAAGCAACTGGTGTGCATTTATTTGATCGTCTCAACTCGTTCCATTCTATTATTCCATTCATCT